ATATATATATATATATATTGTGACGATATATATATCGTCACAAACAGAACTGCCCGGTAACCGTAGGCAGAGAGAGAGAAGAGGACAACAAACGAGGGGCTGTGTACATATATATATATATATATATATATATATATAAAATATATATATATATATATATATATATATATATAATGTACCACTGCTCACCAAAAACGAGAATGAATCCACCAGTAGAACATGGGAAGATACAAGGCCTTTTTTTTTTCCTTTTTTTTCCCCCCTCGATTTATGTGTGTCATCCTTTGTGCCGAGTAGCGGACCAAGGGCCTAAGTCCATAACAGCTGGCGCCAGTGTCGTTTCCTTACAGCTTTCCCTTTTGCGCCACCACCCCCGCATTCGAATACATGTTACATAGGAGCCCAGCCCGGATGGAGGGAAGGCCTGCCGGTTTTTTTTTTTTTTTTTTTGAAGAAGTTGTCGCTTTATATTCCAAGCAAAGAAAGGCTGAGGCCGGGGACCTCACAATTCAACCCGGAGTCTCCAAGAACCTTGCTGGAAACCGGGTCCAGCATCCCAGGAACCCATTATTCTCCTCAGAAGTAAACTTCTTAAAAACTAACTTGAAGCTCAGTAAAAAGTGGCCGAACTAAAAACCTTATGCCCACGCAAATCCTTCAGCCAAGGAATCCTGAACCCTGGGCCAAGCACAAAGAAGATTGACCCTTGCCCATTCTGATGAACGTTAACCCTAACACGTCTGCAAACCAGAGGAAGCCTAGACCACCTTGACGGGTTTTCCACCACGCACCCTTGGATCTTCGAATAGATCTACTGTCAGTTTAAGCCAAGATGACGGCGGGTACAGTTCAAATTTGCCTCGGAGTCCTATCCTGGAGATACCAACTGGAAGAAGTAGCACTCTCACCACCAACGGTGACACTCACACTGTCTCCGTAGTGCTGCTACCCATGAAGTAGAATAGCTTTAAAGTGCATCAGTAGGACTGCAGCACCTATATGCAATTCCTTGAAACCCAAACCAGTCTGCATTTAGAAAACAGCAGAGCCAACCACAAATATCTGGAACGATAATCACATCAATTTTCCGACAGTACTGTGAAATTGTACGGGAGGTATTCCTCCCCTCCTCACTGTCAGCCTGCCAGGAGAGACGTGTGCTATTAGGCACACAACAGGCAGCTGGGACATGATTTTCCCTTTCACCGGTAGTTTCACTCATCTCGCACAGTCCTCTACCAACCACCAGATTTAGGAATACAAACCCAAACGCGCAGTTCTGCCAGGATTCTTCCAGAGAGAACCACAGATCTCTCCTTGTATTTCAGTAAAACTCTTCTTGGCTGAATTCAGCCATCCGTCCTCGCCCAGCCATCCGAAATAGTATCAACAAAAAATAAATCCGCTCGGGACAAGCACTCTACAGTCTGAAAGGGGAACCTGCTTAAGAGGAATACAGGCCAGTGTGAAAGCAGGTACTCCTCTCCTTTGTAGAAAACTGTAACCTAAGTGACTTGCGCAGCGACAGATTACTACGCCACCCAATTGGACACATCCACACATCTGCTAGATACTCCGTGTGGAGTAGTGCTTAATCGTGAGTGGATTAAATTCAAGCCACCAACCAAATGGTACACATCAAAACTGTAGCGTGAGCCAAGAGCAAAATATAGTCATGAAGACCACCCTTGAAATCCTATCGCAATCATGAAAGTAGTAGAGCCTGTACCTATCCCACGTATGGCGCCAAATACAGATACAACAAAATTCAGATGCCTCTCAAAAAACCAAGGTAGAATGACGTGAAGCCCATTATAAAACCAATATGAACAAACCTCTACAGTGTAGGATTCTCATTCAAAGTCAAGTGTCCCACAAATAACCCAGGAAGAATAACAGGAAGCACATCACGTTCCTGATGTAAGAATTTCAGCTTCATCCCCGTGTCGCAAATCTTCATTGGGGCTCTCGGGTCCGTCGCACAGATAAACGAGGACAAAAATGTTCAGCTACTGCGCCTTCTGCTCATGCTGCCGAAAAATCTTCTACAAGCATTCCCGTTCCCGATTATTAACCATCTCCCAAGCAGCTATAGCTGATTCATCTTTCAGAGCGTTGACCACCCCCACCGGTTTAAGAACTGGAACTGGCTCAAAACGGTGATTAGGAGCATGTAAGGGGTATGCCTAAGTGCAAAATATATAGCTTGATGCCTCCTTAGAAATGTTAACAGCACTCCCACCACCGCCTTCACGAGCTCTCCCACTGCTCCCTCTGGCGCTGCTGTCAACTTCCATGTAAAGGAGCCTGTCTCCTTGGTAATATGGACAGCACTCCCACTGCCGTCGCGAGCTCTCCCACTGCTCCTTCTGGCGCTGCTGTCATCTTCCATGTAAAGGAGGCCAGTCTCGCATGGGCATGCCCTGCCAACGAACGAATTCCATCTTCAAAGCTCCTGGCAGACTTCCCCGGCTGACAGCATCTCCCTGCCCCTGGATCTTCTCAAGGGGAAACGCAGTACTAAGCATACCCCGCGGGAGCAGAGTTGCTTCGAAGGATTTCCCCTTAGCTCGACCATAACTCACACGCCGGCGGCTTCTCGCAGCTAACTCCCGAGGTGTTAACCTCGGCATTTCCGATAACATCGTTGCCTCCCCTGCGTTAGCGCAGCCTTAGCGCATGTTAGCACGCTAAGTCACCGCCAACGGACACGGCCGCCAACCGACCGCCCTCGCGGCGTTTTATTGTTCCAATTTTACGGTTTTACCTTTCTTTTAAAACGATGGCAGACACGGGGGAGGTTTAGAGTTCGTAAAGGCAAAAATACCACATACCCGCAAA